TTATTATTTTATTTTACATATATTTTATTATTTTATTTTACACATATTTTGTTATTTTATTTATTATTTTATTTTACATATATTTTATTATTTTAGTTTACATATATTTTATTATTTTATTTTATATATATATAATCGAAATTTATTTTTAAAACCATTTATTACCAAGTTTATTAGAATAAAAATATAATTCCAATGTTATTAAATTATTGGAATAATAATTAATACTATTATCAAAATCTTATCAATTTTTATCTTTATTACGATTAACTTTTACGATTAGCATTTAAAAATAGAAAGAAAAAAAAAAAAAGAGGAAAGCAATTTCTACATAATTACAAATATTTTTTTTCTATTTATTTCAGACTTATGTAAGAGAGAAACAAAATATGAAATGATCTTTTAATAAGTTTGAAAGCTTTTGAAACGTTTAAATTTGATGATTTTCAAACCTTAAGATCTCTTTAGTCTTTGTCAAGAGTATATAATTATGCATGTACTAAATATATTATGTATATATATATATATATAGAACTAAGTTCCTATGTTTGGCAGCTTTGCTTTCTTGCAATTAGTAACGTAATTTGCATCTCACGAAATTGTGCACTTTATGCACGTGTGGCATGTCATCGAACGTCAAATGCAGTAATCATCATAGTTGTAATTACAGTTATTTTGTAAACTTATGTGTAATTTATTTTTCACACTTTTTTTTATTATTATTATTATTATAACATTGCGAGGAGTGACAAGCTTAGTGAACGGAACAACTTTTATATGGAATATTCTAAAATTGTTTATCCCGTACGTTAATTCAAATGATTCAAACCAAAACAACAATATTTTTATATAACAAAAAGAAACATAATACAATTATTTTTTTTTTTTTCTTCATTAATAATTATTTTCATTATTATATTATAATATCTCCTTTATTTATTGTTTTAATTTTTAATTTTTATTTATTTTTTTATTTATTTAAAATAATGATTCCCTTTTCGGGATACATGGGTTTTGAATTTTTATTTGATTATCGATATTAGCTACACTTCAATTTGGTTTTGATTTTTTTTTTTTTTTTTTTTTTTTTTTTACTAAATTATTTAAATGATCTCTTCTTTATTTCTATTTCTATTTTATGAAAAAGGTGAACATTTTTTTTTTACGTGAAATAAATTACAATTATTTATATTGGCAATACATTATAATGTTTTTTTTTTTTTTTTTTTTTTTTTTTTTTTATTTATGATCGATTACAATTATTTCTTATATTAGTAATATTTCAATTTTTATTTTTATTTTTTTTAATTAAATAAAAATATAAATTATATCTATTTTATTTATCATTTATTTTATCTTATAGATTATTTATATATTAGTGATATTACAAATTTTATTTTTTTTTAATTTTTTTTTTTAAAATACTCTTCTTTATTTCTATAAAATTTTCTATAAAACCTTGCATACATTGTATTAAATAAAATATTATATTATGACAAATATTATTTTAAAAATTTATTTTTACGTTTGATTTTCTCTTTTTCCACGTGAATTGAGATTAAATTCCTTTGTTTTTTGTTTTTTTTTTCGTAATTTTATTTTACTTCTTATTTTTTTTTATTTTCTAATGAACTTTTTGCTAACGTCAAAGCGTACAACACAACATCAAAGAGAAAGAAACAACAAAAAACAAAAAAAACAAACAAAAAGGAAAATAAAACTCAATCGAACAAAATAATTATTTTTTTTTTTTTCATACCTTGTTCTTCTCTCTCTCTCTCTCTCTCTCTCTCTCTCTCTCTCTCTTTCACATTTTCTAATTTGATTTTTATTGTTCCTTTTTTTTTTTTTTTTTTTTTTTTTTTTATTTCGTATGCTTTCAGATGGACTTGATTCTTTCTTCGTCCTCGAATCACTACGAGGGAAACCTTTCATATGTAGGTAGGCAAATTTTTTTTTCGGCGAAAACAAAACAAAACAAAACCAAAACGATAAAATAATAAAAAACAAAAAAAATGAAGAAAAGGGGAGAGCGCAAAAAAATGAAGTGAACTATGTGCAAAACGAAGTAATTAAAAAAGTTTCCAGCCTGGGAGATGATAGAAGGAGAGAGAGAGAGAGAGAGAGAGTGAGAAAGAGGGAAAGAGTGAAAGAGAGAGAAAGAGAACAAAAAAACCTTTAAAACTCGAGAGTTTTAAAAAACTGTTAGTAGTCGTTAAAAAAATGAGCAAAGTCTTGCATATCCTACTCGTTCTAATCAATTTGTTCAATCTTCTTTTTTTTTTTCTTTTCTATTTTCTAATAAATAAAATTACTTAGAATAATATAATATAAATTTTACTATAATTAATTTAAAAAAAAACAAAACAAAAAAAACAATGTAAACTTTGTCAGCTTGCACAAAAGTCAGAAAAATCACTTTCCATTTGTTTATTATTTATTTGCGTTTAATAAATAAAAATATATATAATATTATACATTAACAAATAAATTTATAATATTAAATGTACAATTATTATTCAACTTATGTAAATAATAATTTTGCCATAAATTTAATTTAAAAAACAACAAAAAAAAACAAAAAAACCATGTAAAACTTTGTCAGCTTGCACAAATCTGAGTAAAATCACTTGCCATTAGTTTATTTTATCTTTTTGTTGTTGTTCTAATAAGTAAAATTATTAGGTCGAGTCATAAGTAACTTCCAATGCGTCTATGTAGAATCTATTTTTTGTATTTACCTATTATTAAGGGTGCCCTGCAACGCGTTACTGTGCTGACTCACAATCAGTCCGATACACACGTCAATAAAATAATATTGCGATTATAAATTGAGATATAAACTATTCTATCTTTCAAATTAGATAAAACTGCACACAGTGTGCAAAATTTGATTAAATTCGGTTCAGTAGTTTAGGAGTCCATTGCGAACAAACAACGTGACACGTAATTTATATATATATTAAGATATAAGTCACCGAAACTAACGAATGTTTGATATCACTGTATAGATGAGAATTCAGTTTAGTCTTCTGTCAACCTTTTTTTATGTAATCAATGTTACATTTAACCGTTTCTTCTTAACCACTGTAATGGATAGTAAAAAGTGCATATTCGACCATGTAATGCTTTAAGAATTGAAACAAGGCAATTAGCACTAAAGTGGCAACTGAAAAAATATACAGCTTATACAGTGCAGGACTTGATAACTGATAGGGCAGTCAGAAATTGGTTTGTAAAATTCCGTTACTGGATATACGATCTTAAAAGATGAACCGAGTGCAGGGACGTATTTCCAACTTTGATGAACCTTTTAAAGGTAATATTGAGAGCAACATCCAATAGATAAGTTGAACAATTGCAAAGAGTGCAAAAAAAACAAAAAAACTCGATGAAAGGTGTCTTGCACTTATCAGTCGCAGAAAAGCGTCCATTCTTTCTTTGTCTCATAAAAAAGGGAAGTTATTTATGACTCGACCTAATGTATAATAATATACATTAAAAAATTAATTTATAATATAAGCGTACACTTATTATTCAAAACTTATGTATATATATATAAACACATACATAGAAACATATTAATGGTAATTGTAAAATAATTTAGAAAAAAAAACATTTGTTCTTTAAATTATTCATATCATTGGTAAGGTGCTTTTAAAATTATACGTAATAAATATTTAAGACTATTATATTGTTTATTAATAAAATTTACAAAAAATAAATGAAGAATTATATACGTAAAAAAAAAAATAAAAAATAAGATAGATTATAATAATACGTACAACTTTGTTTCGGCCATTTTTTTTTTTCAATAAAAAAATCTGTAGGAAAATTGCGTAAACAAAGTTGTTAAAAAAAAAAAAAAAAAACGGGGAAAATCGAATCGCTGAAAATTTCCAAAAAAAAAGATGAATGAATAAAAAAAAAAAATAAAATTAAAATANAAAATTAAAATAAATCATAAAGAAAAAAAAATTAATACTAATGATAATGATGATAATGATGATGAAGATGATGATGAAATTTATTCGATATTAATTATGTCAGATAAAGTCATGTAATCCTATTATAAAATGAATGGCACGTAATTTCGATGCACCATTTCATTTAATATATGTATAAATATTATATACACAACAATAATAATAATAATAATTACAATTAAAATAATAATAATAGTAATACGAATAATTAATAATAATAATAATAATATGACATAACGTGTAAACGTTATATTCGTTTTGATAGATTCTAATTAACAATATGGGTGTTAATTGTGTAGAAACAAATTTTCTTTTTTTGTTGTTTTTTTTTTTCTTAACAAAAAAAAAAAAGATACACGTATAGACACACAAACAGATATCACAAGGTGTTTCGTAATTAACTAAAAAAAAAAAAAAATAAACTCCATTTCAGGAATCGATCAAATATTTCAACAAAATTAAAAAACAAAGTAACTCGAATTATTTTCTAAATTATTCACAAATGCAAAGTTTTGATTTGATTTGAAAAAAGAACAAAAAAAACACAGTCAAATATGAAACAATATTTTTCTGTTCAATATACCTACTTTTTGATTGGTTTATTTAGTCATCTCATTGCTGAAGTTTAGTTATCCATGTATTATTATGAAACACCGTGTAGATAAATATAAATATTAAAATTAAATATTTTCTCTCGATGTGTATGATTTTATAAAATATGAATGCAAACGAATATAAACGTGAACTATTTAATATTCATCAAAATTTAACTTTTAGTACGAATTTTTGTCCATATAAATCTAACTTAAAATATGTTAAAATAATTAAAAAAAAAAAAAAAACGGGGAAAATCGAATCGCTGAAAATTTCCAAAAAAAAAGATGAATGAATAAAAAAAAAAAATAAAATTAAAATAAATCATAAAGAAAAAAAAATTAATACTAATGATAATGATGATAATGATGATGAAGATGATGATGAAATTTATTCGATATTAATNAAAAAAACAAACAAACAAGCAAGCAAACAAACAATACACAAACGCAACAAATGTTTTTTTTTTTTTTTCCTATAAATTATTTGTAAAAATTATATTATTATACGTAAAGTATGAAAGAGAAGATTTTTGCAATTTTTTAAAAACAAATTAAAACTAATGTGAACTCTCTTCGTAATTACAATCCAACGACTGTAAATTATTTCAAAGATAATCATTGAAATATAATCCGATGTTGTTATGTATATGTGAATGATAAATAAGAATTATTATTATTATAAAAAAAAAAATAAAATAAAATAAAATAAAATAAAATAAAATAAAACGTGTGTGCAAATCACATAAATCACAAGTTAAAAGATAAACCATCAAAAAACCGTATATTCGAGAGAATAAAACAAGTAAATAATATCAAAAGTAAAATAATTTATTATATTTTATTATTATAATATCATTTGTACTTTTTTTTTTTTTATAATAATTTATTAAATAATTATAAAAATGTGCGCCTGTAGATATGCAACCCTCCAGACACACTTTAAAAATGTTGCTTGCGAGCGCCACCTTTTGGGACGGAATATTTTTTCACTCGAAACTGTTCATACACGTGTGTATGACGGGTTGCCTATCTTTTGGGCAGGAGAAAAAAATTTCCGTTCTAACAAATGGAGCTTGCAAGCAACATTTTCAAAATGTGTCTGGAGGGTTGCATACCTACAGGCGTAAAATTTAAAAAAAAAACAACTATTAATATTTCATTTTAATTTTAATCTCTATGAAATAGTATATTTATATGATTATTTTTATATAGGGTGTCTCAAAAGTTGAATAATTAAATTGACAAAATTGTTGAATAATTTATTTTTATTTTGTTTACAGATTTTTATGTACTTTTTTTTATTTTTTTCAGTAGAAAAACTTTTGGAATACTTTGCATTATGATTAATATTAAAAATTGCAGCAAAAGATTCAACTTTTGTAAAGAAAAATACGTCGGAAAAATTTATCGATGAGTATCAAGTTCAATATTTATAAAATCACAATTTAAATCAAATTTCATATTCAATCATTTCCATTCGCAGATTTAATTTGAATAAAATATTAAATTCTGATCTTTTTCAAAACTTACGATGGATTTTTAATAAGTTTCATATTTAATATTTCATAAGTTTTATAATCAAATGTGCGTATATTTAAATAAATAAATAAATAATATAAATAAATAAAGAGAAAAAATAGAAAAATCAAAGAAATCGTATTGTTATAAACAATAAATATAATTTATTATTGTAACAATAATAATCGTCACAATTTCAATCAAATGAATCATCTCAAATGTTAGATCAAATTTAATTCTTTACAATTTACTTTTCATTTCATTGTCTTTTAAATATTATTACAAATTAAAAAAAAAAACAAACAAACAAACAAATCTTAAAAGATCCTAAAAAAAGAAAGAAAGAAAGAAAGAAAGAAAAAAATTACTCAAAAGCATCAAAAAACTTGCAAAAATTATTAATAAACAAAAAATAAATGAACGTTTGATTAAATTTAATTTGAAAAAAAAAAGAAAAAAAATTATCTTCTATCTTATGACATAATTCAGCTATTAATTAACATTCAAGTTGTCAACAAAAAGTTATTAAGAACTTTAATAGAAACGGGTGGAAGGATGGATGAAGGGGTGGCAAGGGAAGGGTAGGGGATGGGGGAGGGGAGGGAAGGGGAGGGGGGTTAGTACGAAGAGACGAGAAGTTTAAGTACAAGGTAATAAGGGCTCGAATAAGATACAGTTGATCGGGTATTGGCAAATATATCTGAGAACAAAGCTCAAATCTTAGTAGGATTAAGTTTAATTGAGATAAAATTGAAGTATATAATTACAATCATTTCAATTGGAATGATGTAAGACAGGAAATGATACTCTTGTCATTGAAATGAAACTGTAAATTTAATATAGAGACGTACAATATTTCTTAATTGATAAAATTGAACAGATAAATGTTACATGAATT